ACACGGCGCCCCTGAACGAGGGAATTCGAAAACAAAACAAGACTGGAGAAAATTACATAACGAGGGGTTTAAATATTAAACTAACTCCATGGGCAGACAATCTTCTTTAGGAGGAGACAGTTAGGTCGACTAGTTAAGAAATTCGTCTTGATTTCTATTTTAAAACACGACGTTTCGGAGATTGGGGCGAGCTACATCGATTGGACTCAAAACAGAGTAGGTCTTTGCCTCAGGACGGAGAAAGAGTCGTCTCTGAAACGTCGTATTTTTAACAGAAAGTTCGTTACTTCAAGAAATTTCTTGATTTTTATTTTAAAACACGACGTTTCGGAGATTGGGGCGAGCTACATCGATTGGACTCAAAACAGAGTAGGTCTTTGCCTCAGGACGGAGAAAGAGTCGTCTCTGAAACGTCGTATTTTTAACAGAAAGTTCGTTACTTCAAGAAATTTCTTGATTTTTATTTTAAAACACGACGTTTCGGAGATTGGGGCGAGCTACATCGATTGGACTCAAAACAGAGTAGGTCTTTGCCTCAGGACGGAGAAAGAGTCGTCTCTGAAACGTCGTATTTTTAACAGAAAGTTCGTTACTTCAAGAAATTTCTTGATTTTTATTTTAAAACACGACGTTTCGGAGATTGGGGCGAGCTACATCGATTGGACTCAAAACAGAGTAGGTCTTTGCCTCAGGACGGAGAAAGAGTCGTCTCTGAAACGTCGTATTTTTAACAGAAAGTTCGTTACTTCAAGAAATTTCTTGATTTTTATTTTAAAACACGACGTTTCGGAGATTGGGGCGAGCTACATCGATTGGGCCCAAAACAGAGTAGGTTTTTGCCTCAGGACGGTGAAAGAGTCGTCTCTGAAACGTCGTATTTTTTTTAACAGAAAGTTCGTTACTTCAAGAAATTTTCGCCTCTTTTAATCCTGCTTGTAATATTTCCCTAAAGCTTGGCGGAAACAGAGAAAATTACTGCCTTCACGGTGGGAATTATAACAGAACATTGTCAAATGAAGACAAAAATAGGATTCAGAAAACTTGTATCACGTCGTCACCTTTCCAAAACAATGGAGTTGAGAGACAGAGATAAAAGGACATTAACCATTTGTTTTGCATTGCGGGACGTATATTTCTTTTCTTTTTTTTTCAGAGACGGAAAAAATTACAAACAGCAAAAGAAATTGTCAACAAGACACACGGCACTCTGAGAGAAATTTCGTAAATTACGTCACATTAAGTGCACTCTGGGATCGGGAAATTGGGCACAAAGTCGTCTAATTAACGCCACTTTAGCACGTAGCAGTTCGAATTACGCAAAACTTTGCCAACTTACGAGAGGGGTCGCAATGTGAAGATAGCAGCATAATTTCCTCTCACAGATTCCTGAAACTACAGTTATTAAAATCAATAACGGGGCCGCGTACTAACCATCGAGAAAGCATCTGGCCCTCAGTCCTATCCCATTATAAAAAACATCCTCTTATAAATGTACAAACATGCTTTAAAAAAAACACGAAACATATTCAGCTTTGAACACAAAATAACTTAAGACGCCTACTTCACTTTAAATCAGCCTCAAAGTTGGCTTGTCTTTCGAGTCGGTTTGTACGTCACTTGTTTTATTGACTTAACACTCAAAATCCAGTAGCTCAAGCGATAACCAAATGATGAACAAGGTTTAAACCGAATTAGGCAGTTACAGCGTGCATCTTGGCAACAGCGCAACTCGAGTCATGTTACCGGCGATAAAGGCACAGTGTTGCCAATGGTTTATACCTGCGACACATCGTGCCATGACACACGCCCGCCCAAATCCTATCAATCACTGACGTCATAATCGACCGTCGTTCTGTTCCAAGACAGCAAAGCCCAGAGGCCTGATGCCAAATGCCCATTGTCGACAGGCATTTGTCATCGTGTTATCTGTGTTTAGTTACGATTCGATCACAATGGAACACGCCACATTGTTATTCTATAAAAGATACGACACCATTTTTCAAGTGAAACAAAACATTCTCATTTTACATTCAGTGATCAGTTGCCACGTCGTAGATAGATGCTACCAACTTTTCAAAACCAGAATCGACTCCATTCATCCATCTTCGAGCTATCGATTGTGACACGAACACTCATCAGTATAGACTGGAGGTGGCGCGGGCTGAAAAATGGAATGTGTCCGCATTGTTTTACGACGTCATAACGCGTGAAGACATTCGCGAATGGTTTCTGTCATATTGCCAGAAATGATAATGAACTGGTTCAGAGAGGACGTAACTGCATTCAGTACGGTAATGCCATCTATCGTCCGATAACAGAGACACGAACCTGAGAGGTTCGCGGATCGCATCACTCAATCACTGGCGTTTGATATGAATGGATAAGTCTATCTGCGCAGTGTTTTCAGGCATGATCCATGGACTGCAACGCATTTTAATATCGAACTCGGTAATTAACCGCTGATAGGAGAAACCGTCCTGAAATTTTGTTCTTCCATAAGCTTGCCCGTAACAACTGACAGCGGATCTTTATGGTGGGGGGAACAATTATTTTCCGAAGACCCAAAAATCTATTACAGGTGGCCACTATCCTACTGTTTGCCGATATGATGGAATTTGGAGCCAAATTTTGTGCCTGGCATTTTATTTAAAAGTATAATTTTTGTTGTTGATATAATAACAGTGAGTTTAAGATTTCATTATTTATTTACTATGATTTTCCGTGGTCGCGTATCTGTAAGCCCATCCCACACAATACTACGTTCGTCCAACGCCCCCCCCCCCCCCCCCCCCCCCTAACGAGGGTGTACATGGACATCGGATATTTTACCACAACATCAGTGGTCAAAACACAAATTATACCTGACGCTTCTCAAAAAAGATTCGAGCGTAGGCGACAAATGCTGACGTCACTTCCGCTCCATGACCACCTGTAAGCACGTCACCAACACCCACTTGTGGACAGAAGAGAGTCTCCCTTCGTCTTTAAAAACCAATGGCTTCTGTACCATCTCCTTTAAAGCTCTATGACCGCGTTTGCCCACCACCGGTGTGATGTAACGGTGAAGAGTTGTGTTTTCTTCGCGGTACGGACTGAATTCTTAAATATTATTTTGCCGAGCTTTCAACTGGCTTTCAACATCGCCACGTTGCAATAAAGAAACTTCCAAAACGAGTTCCTGTGCGACAGTCCACCGCATTTATGCAAATGCTTCAAACCCAGGCTATCACACTAGGTTTGAGGTTATCACAGCAGTGAAAACGCCGTGTAGACACATAGACAGATAACCAGCGTTTCGGAGAAACACGCTGTCACCATCTTCCAGGTTGAATTTTAATTCTGTCCGTATCCACCCACCTGCCCCGTTTCCTTAAGACCTCCGTTTTAATATCATCCCATCTACGCTTAGGTCTTTCGAGTGGTCTCTTCTCGTCGGGAAACTCTCATTCCGCTAACTTTACCTGGTGCGACTGAAGAAAACCGGGATCAGAACCGGGTAACTAATGACAACGCGTTTAAACACGCGCCCTGTAATATTTACGGCCGGATAAAAATAAAGTCCCGGCAGTTTAAAAGCTCACGTCGCGTCGCCCTCCGGGAACATCACTCACGTGGACGACCACAGGACACGCTGAGGACCGGGTCCAATCGTCGATGAGGGTCTGGTTGGCTTCCTGCCCCTGCAGGTCCGCGGATATTCACGTCAGACGGAAGACGACAACGACCAACAGACGTAGGGGTGGGAGAACCACGTGTTATTAAGGCCAGCCTAAGGTCTGTCGTACTAATACCCGGTTGGCTGGCTGTAGAGATCAGCAAGAATTAAGTTCTGGAGAATTTTGAAACGGAAGAAATTAAATTATAACAGAAAACCGGAAGTTAAACAATACACCGTGCTGAAGAGAGATTTTTCCTCTTGCCTCTCCGTCCAGGCCTGCTGTAGGCCCCACCCAGCCTCCTACCCAATGATGACTGGGGTCCCTTCCCGGGGGTAAAGCCAAGGTGTGACGCTGACCACTCCCGCCCCATCTAGTGCCGAGGCCAAGAATGAGTAGGAGCTATACCTTCCCCCTCCCGAAGTGGCTACATGGCGTATAGTGGGACAACTTCACTTACTTTGTATGAAAATGGTAAAGAATCGAATGAAAAAATAAATCTCGCCAAAAAAATTTGAATTCAGAGACGGAAAATACTTAAGATTATAAAAATTAGCTGATAAGACACTTGGTCTCTCACCACGAACTGAATAACATGGACTGAGAATTTATGAGAACATGGTTTGAGGCAATGATGAAGAGATTTTTGTTTCGTACTGTTCGCCATAGACGGAGGAAAAAGACGAACGTCATGTAACACGCATAGCAGAAACATCAAATCTATACAAAATTTGTCATAGAGACTCATTTGAGAGACCTAGGCATAGATGGCAATACTATTATTTATTTGCGGTTTATTTAAAGACGCTGTAAGCAGCAACAGAGTCGACGGCAGGATACCATTACGACCAATCTTGAAGAAATCGAGTATGAGAATTGGCATTGGATTTTGTTCAAGACATGGTGCTTCTGCAACGGGACACGGGAATAGTAGGTTTCACAAAAAGCGTCATATTTCTTGGCCAGATGAGCAACTATGAGCTACGCAAGGACTCTGCGCCACGGCGTGTAGAACTACCCCCTCCCCACTCGCACTGGGTCACGGACGCCATTACAGGATCCGTTGTACATGGATGACAAGAGAACATTTCTTGCCCCTGATCAAACTGCAGCCAGGCACACCAAGCAATTAACCATCAGCATACAGCGATATACATAACCTCAGTTATAGTTACGTTTCCTGCAAACTCAAATGACGCGACAAGTTTTGCAACAACTAAAGAATTTTAGTTGTGTTACAAAGTGAACAAATGCCACAAGTTGAACACACCTTAAATAAACTACAAAACACATTTCGCTTATATTTATAAAATTCTACACCCAATAGTATGAAAATATACTTACATATAAAGATTATCAGTAGTGGCCCAGGCAATCCTTAACATTCCACGCATTGACAAAACACTCAATAATAATAACTCACAATTACACCCTTAAAGCATAAATACAGATATAATTTACCTATATTGGTATAATCTTTGTATATTATGCGCACGTAAAATGCGAGTGATCAGATGCACCAACACACAAATCACATCACTATATAAATACTACATCTTTCACACTCAAATGCCAAACTTTTTTATGTGGTAACATTCACGTAAGTTCCCAATATATATTCTGACAAATCGAAAGTAGAAAATATCTTATAGAAACTGTTAATATTCATTTGGCAAAATTTCCGATTCCACTCACAGCAAACATAAACACTGTTCATAGTATGTACTATTGACGCCACGCGCCGCTAAAATACAGGAAAATAAGACGTTCAATAATGGTTAATACTTCTATCAACAGGCGGCACTAATAGGCAAAGTTAATACCAACATAATGGGCGTGGTATCTCGCAACAGAATAACCAACGTTAGAAGCCATATGTCTGCTTAATAAAGAACCAAATTGTTTACTGTGGTGGGTACTTAAAATTATGCAGTTACAAATAATCTGTTACAAAATATCCACTAACAAACACATCCTTGCAGTTCCAAGTTAGTAAATTAAAATTGAAAGGGTGTCACCTCTAACACAACATAACCTTCACAAATCTGACTTATACTTTAAATACCACTTACAGTACGCTAACAGCACCACCCACTACTGTTTTAAATGTAATGGCCGAACACTTAATTAAAAGTGATTTATGCTCTCTTGGCCAGTTAAGCAAATATCTTCTCAAAGACTGCTTCATTTACAGCACATACAGTCTGCTGCAAGGCAAGACAAGACAACTAGAAGAAGTATTAGATTAACCGTACATTATGAACACGTATCATAATACATATAAACAAAATACTGTTGAAAATTTCTATATACACCTATTTATGTTAATGGTAAAGGCCCTGGCTTTTGAGCAATATGAAACTATACAGCATCCTAGCACCCATTTTTTTTCAACATGTTACAACAAGTTCCATGCACTTTATAGGGTTTGAGGTTTTCATTATATCAAAGTTAATGGAGATGGCTGTCTTCTGGGTTGTTGCGCCATGTAGTCTGGTAGAAGTTTACCAACGTTTCAGAGGTCCTTGCTGCCTCCATCAGGATGATCACTGGTAAACTTCTACCAGACTATGTGGCACAACAACCCAGAAGACAGCCATCTCTATGAACTTTGATTCCCACTTTTGATCAGGATGGACACATCAACTTTCGCTTCAAACACTGTATCCATTTTATACTGGTCGATGGCAGCAGTAGCTACACATTAATAATTATACACTGTCGACAAGCAGAGTACCTCAGTCACTACAGAGATCAGGCTACAGGCTCAACCTCCACAGTTTGAGTCCTGGCAGGGATAGTGATATATCTCATTGCTACCATGTCTAGACCGTCCAGTGGGTACCTTTCAACTTTGCAATAATAAATTTCCATGCATAGTACAAATTCTGACAGAGTTAAATTTGCCAAGGTCACCTTATAATTGAATAAATGTGTGTGCCTCAATCATCATTCATACCAGTGAAATATATAATTTCTCTCTCACTTTCTAATGTACATAAAGCGTCATTATATTAACTGTGCTAGTGGTAACCGTATGCCGCAACCTCAACATTCAAGCAAAACCCAATTTGTAGAGAGTGAAGCAGGTGCGTTGTCAGTATTTAAATACATCGATTACGCAGCGACAACGGAAAAATGACATAAATATGAAGTTCTGCAATTTTATTACAATAAATAATTTAACTATAATTAAATATTGTCCCCAAACTAATTAATAAGACTTCCTACATTCTTCAAAATTATACATCAGTCTCAAGGGTAAAGTAGGGAAACTATCCTAACTAAAGAAACAAATGTAGGAACATTACAATATCATAAAAGCCACCTATATTTAGTCTTTCAGTGTTTGTGTTTTGCTTCCAGCAACATTAAATATGCAATCTTCTTCTTCTTCTTTCGCACTACGGCCCCTTCAGTGTAGCCTTGGTTTCTGTTGCGATCGATGCCCAGTCTTCCCTATCCTGTGCTTTCCTTCTCCAGCCTCTTACGCCCATCTGTTTAAGATCAGACTCCACGTCTTTGATCCACCGGAGTTTCGGTCTTCCTTTCTTTAATTTGCCAGGAGGTTTACTATTGATGGTCATCTTACATCCTCTATCGTCACTCACTCGGAGTATATTCTATCCTTCTTGCCTTTATTACAGCTACAATATCTGAGCTTTTGAATAGCTTCTCCAGCTCGATATTCATTCTAATTCTCCATAGGCCATTGTCACATATTGGACCAAAAATCTACCTTAAAATTTTCCTTTCCCAGGACATAAGCATTCTTTCAGCTAGAGATGTTAAAGTCCAGCATTCAGAACCGTACAATACTATAGGTCGTATTATAGTAGTGTACAACCGCACTTTAAGGTTTTGGTGGATAAACCTTTTCCTGAGAACTTGGCCTAGAGCATAGTAGCTTTTGTTACCCGCAGCGATTCTTGCTTTTATTTCTGTGAGGATGTCATTACAGCTTGTGATCAAGGAGCCTAGATATTTGAACCCTTCTAAGGGAATGGACCCTAAATAAAAACTTCCGGTCCACCAGGAAGATGGGAGTTGGACATTGGGTTAACAACCCAATTCTGGAAAAAGATGACGTTCAGACACTCTTGAGACGAGGCCTCGGAAACATGACTCCCTTTGGTAGACGTGGAAAACGGAAAAAGGACATGATTTTGGCCACATGGAACATCGGAAGTTTACGAAAACCGGGCGCTTTGGCAAGGCTCAAGGAAGAATTAGGCAAATATATAGTTGATATTGCTGCGGTGCAAGATATGAGGTGGAACGGAGGTGGCATTATGGGCTCTGGCGAGTATACGGTTTGCTACAGTGGGCAGATAACAAGAGCGGAGTTTGGAACTGGCTTCTTGGTACATAGAAGTATTAAAACAGTAAATGAGAGAATGTGTACATTAAGAATCAGAGGAAGATTTTTCAACTCAACCCTAATCTGCGTTCATGCGCCCACAGAAGACAAGGAGTAAGAGCAAAAGAATGGTCTCAACGTAAGACTAAATAACATCTATATGAAGGCCCCAAAAAAGTGACATAAAAATGGTTATCGGTGACTTCAACGCTCAAGTAGGGAGACCATGCAATGGCCCCAAACGTAGGAAAGTATACCCTACGTGAGGAAACCAATGATAATGGTTGGAGGATGGTAGACTTTGAAACCACCAGAAATATGACCGTCAGTAGCAGCCTCTTCTCTCATAAGAGAACACATTTAGAAACATGGATCTCACCAGATGCACAATCCCACAACCAAATAGACCACGTGCTGACAGATGCTCGACATGCCTCTGATGTCATGGACGTCAGGACATACAGAGGAGCAGACTGCGACAGCGATCATAATATGGCGAAAGTGAGGATGAGACAACGGATCTCCAGGGCCAGTGGTACAAAAGAACACACCAGTAAAAAATTTGACACCGATAAACTAAAAGATGGTCTTATAGCAAGGGAATATAAAATACAATTGGAATCCACCTTGGAGAAGGCAGTGGAAACAGAGGAGGAATACGGGGTTGAAAGGAGGTGGAACAAAATCAAGAATGCAGTACACGTAGTAGCTGAAAACACGCTGGGAATATACAAACAGAAGAAAAGGAACAACTGGTATGATGACGAATGTCGAATGGCCCTGGAAAAGAGAAATGAAGCACGCAAGAAGATGGTACAAAGATGTATAAGATCAAACGTACAGACGTACAAGGAAGTAAGAAACAGGCAAAGAAGAGGCGACGTACGAAAGTTTTATGAAAGTGTAAGGCAGGTGAGAGGCGGCTTCCAACCAAGAACATCTACGTGCAGAAACAAGGACGGAGAATTGGTAGGGGATGAAGTGAGTGTCCTTAATACTTGGAAGGAATACTTTGAGAAGCTGCTCAACCCAGGAGAAGGAACACCAACGCAAGAAGCAGGAAAAATATACTGTGGACCAGAAAGGGAAATCACTCCACCTTCTTTACAAGTAACTGTAACAATAAGAGCATTGAAATTAAATCGTGCTCCTGGGGAAGACTCTATCTCAGCCAAGTTGATTAAATACTGTGCTAGAACGCTGTGGAAACACATACACTCTTTATGTGAATTGCTGTGAAAGACGGAGACCATGCCTGAAGAATGGCATGCAGCAATTATCTGCCCAATACACAAAGAAGGCAGCGAGTTAGATTGCGGGAATTACCAAGGGATCTCACTCCTCAATGTCACCCACAAAATATTTGCAGCAGTATTATCTAAGCGCCTCAAGCTTTATGTTGAAGATTGTTTAGGAGACTACCAATGTGGTTTTGGGAAAAACCGATCAACAACTGACCAGATTCATCGCCTTAGAACTACACTGGAGAAGACATGCGAATGAAACATCGAAGTGCATCAACTATATATCGACTTCAAACAGGCCTACGATAGCATAGATAGAAATCAGCTAATAGAAATAATGAGAGAATTCGGATTTCCTGCAAAGTTAGTAAGATTGGTGAAAATTACCCTGACAAATACTTGCAATAAGGTGAAAATACAAGGTAGGGTCTCTTGACAGCTGTGAAACAGTGGCAGGCTTACGACAGGGCGACCCTCTGTCTACACAGCTAATTAACATTTGTCTAGAAAAGGTCATTAGAGCAATCAAAACAAACCCTGGAGGACACATCTTTAATAGAACCTGTCAGATACTCGCATACGCAGATGATTTGGTGGCGTTGGGAAGAAGCATGAAGTACCTCACAGAAGCAGTGGAAGAGATAATTACTGCAGCCAAGAAAGTAGGCCCTGAGATCAACAACACCAAAAGCAAGTACATGCCGAACAAGACGAGCGGAACCAATGAACCTGGGGTTGTAGAGATTGCTGGGAGGGAATTTGAAAGGGTGGAGTCTTTCAAATACGAGGCGCGTCCCAAAAGTAAGTTTCCCACTCGTCCCACAGCTAGCAAACCTTATATTGCGCGAAGCGACTGTGCGTACGTGATAGAGCAATGCCGTAGCATGGCGCATGCACTAACGGCACCTCCCGCGTTCTCACAGTAGCATCGTTGCAGCTGTTGAAGATGGAGGTTCTTATTCCAGCTCCCGCCGACTGTGAAGTGCGGTCAGTGATAACGCTAGGCCGCACACGGCTCGACGGACAGCAAGTCTCCTGCAGGAGTTCAGCTGGGAGGTGTTTAATCATTCACCCTACAGCCCGGACCTCGCTCCCAGTGATTTCCATCTTTTCCTACACCTCAAGAAATTCCTGTCCGGTCAGCGTCAGCGTTTTGAGAATGAAAGAGAGGCGGAGATGGTTGTCACACAGTGGTTCCAATCCCAGGCGGCAGACTTCTACGACACAGGTATTCAAAAGTTGGTCCCACGGTATGACAAATGTCTCAATTCCGGTGGCGAATATGTTGAAAAATAGCTGGACACTTGCTGTATCTGTTGCAATAAATATTTCCATGAAATTGTGTTTTGTTTCTGTAAACGGCCCCAGGGAAACTTACTTTGAGGACGAGCCTCGTATCTACGCTCCTTGATCACAAATATGCAATCACTTTGTGCAAATAAAATCAAACCAGAAAATATCATCAACCAATCCTTTCTATCAGTTCAAAGACTCCTCTACTTCGGGACTTCTTAATCACCCGTTTTGCGTGTTGGCCTCTCTGGTCGCCTAGCTACACGAAAGAATCGATTTTTGAGGTGGCCGAACATAAAGACACACTCCAAGATTACAAATAATAGAATGATGGCAAGACTGGAAACCAGCAGAGAATGTAATTAATTAGGCCTCTATATGATTGTTAACCCGGTGTCTCTCTTGAATAATGTTGTAAACATACAGCGTCTTTAAGTCAGTTGGCATATTCGTATCTATTCACTGTCCACTCTGGCTAAAAGGAAGTTTTTGTACCAGGTTAGAAGAATGCAGGCACAGAGAGTGTCTAGACTCTGTGGCACACAGTCACGAGCTTCACAATTCAGAACCACCACTGATACTCCAAATTCATGATCTATGTTATCACAAATCTCCTTTTTATTTTACTATGTTTTATGTTTCTCTCTTTTTCAAAATGTCAAAAGGAATCTCAATCTATAACAAAAGTATTATGGTCGAAGTATTTTCCGACTTCAACGGAATGCCAAACTGACACTGGTGACAAATAATTTAACTGAGGTATTTTTCAAAACATTAGCGAACATATAAGAAAGCCTTGAATTGGGTCAAGGTCCTGATGAAATGTGAGTGCATCAGTTCACGACGTATGTAATTCATTACTGTTACTTTCTTATGTCTAGTTGGTATTAATTTTTAAGTTATCTACTTTAGGTTATCTGTTGTGTTTAAATACTTGTGCCTTATGGTTTTGTAATCTTATGAGTTGTTTCATTTTGAGTATGGTGTTTTGTTGTGTCTCATTGCTTTGTTGTGTCTTATTGTTTTGTTGAGTCTCATTGTTTTGTTGTGTCTTATTGTTTAGTTGTGTCTCATTGCTTTGTTGTGTCTTATTGTTTACTTGTGTCTCATTGTTTTGTTGTGTCTTATCGTTTACTTGTGTCTCATTGTTTTGTTGTGTCTTATTGTAGCACCACTGCCACTGGGTAAAAACCCATTTGCAGTTAATAAATAATAATAATAATTTAATTTAATTCACCTTTACTAACACATGCAAGACAATTTACCCACACAAAGCATAAACAAAACCTTAAAAGCTAATCAAACTCTTCAGTAAGTAAAGTAATACATTGATACAAATTTAGTCATTGAAATTCTGATTAAATGATCTATAAAACAAAATACAACACATGGAATTCTGCCGTACTACATGTACAAGGGATGAATATCTCCAACTGTCTGCCTGTTACGACACTTGGGACACTCCTCCTTCTTTTCGAGGACCTGCTCAATACATGCACGACAGTAGGTGTGCCCACACAGTGTTGACATGACTTGCCTCTCTGGTGTTGGATTAACGAATTCCAGATCCTCCATACAAACCGGACACATTCCACATACCAATGAAGACTTTTTTTCAACTTTCTTCCTGCAGGATTTCCTAGGTGACTCCTCTACCCTGTAACAATGACACATTTTGCACCACAGTCATGAAATTTCACATCTGGACACGGTCTATCATGTTTTCTTGTAGCTTACATTGCGACACAGTGTACATGGAATATTTTATATCCCAATGAATAAAAAGCAAAAAAAATTAAAGCTGTCCCACTATACGCAATGTAGGCACTTGTGGGGAGAGGCAGTATAGCTCATACTCATTCTTAACCTTGACACTAGATGCAGATGAGTGGTCAGCTTCAAGCCCTGGATGCCCTTTACCCCCGGGAAAGGACCCTGGTACCCATGGGATAGGAGGCTGGGTGGGCCCCAGAATCGATCTGGACGCAGACGCTACAAGAAAAATCCTCTGCCCGTCTGGGATCGAACCCCGATAAAAATGTATACTAATGTATTTAAATAAGTATTAACACCACTGCATCTACAAAAAAGTCAACAAGACATTACAATTTACTTTCAAATAATCCTGAACCCTAGCATAAACTGTGTATTAAATGTACTAGACAAATATATAATGGACGTTAATGGAGAATAGTAAGTATATTCATTGCATGTAAATGTTTTGATAACAACAAACAGAGATCACGACAGCAAACCAAATGTTATAATTAATATGGACCCGATGACTGGGGTTCAATCCCCGACAAGGGCAGGGGATTTCTCCTCTAGCCTGTGCGTCCAGACCGGCTCTGGGGCCCACCCAGCCTCCTATCCAATGGGGTGTGGGGAACTTTCCCGGGGGTTAAGCGTGGCCGAGGCGTAAAGCTGATCACTCACCCCCATCTAGTGCCAAGGTTAAGAATGAGTAGGAGCTATAACACCTCTCCCCCCCCCAAGTGCCTACATGGCATACAGCGGGACAGTTTTACTTTACTTACATAAAGTTTGTTCAAATGTTGATGATGGCATTAAGCAGGACTGTTGTCTCAACAAGAAACATTTTAGCACAAAGAACACATGAATCGTAACAGTCAAGCTTAATAACAACCAGACATCAAAATTTGACCGTACACCAGCAACATAAAAAATGCCAACCTCATAAATACCAATACAGTTAAACAATGGTGGCAACAGTGAACTACATTCAACCGAAGTGTGCAGGAAACTTACTTCATTTTTAATGGACATAGTTCTGTGCAACATCATGTCCCATAGAGATGGGATGACGGGGTGCATCAGAAAAATAATTCTCTCAAGCATCAACCGCTACAGAACGACAGTGGAATTTTAATCGCCACTTCTTTTACACTGGCTGACCGATGATTGTGAACCAAAAACATTTATATATTTTTAGTGTGATACTGACTGGCTGGGACATATTATGAGAAGGAATGGGTTACTGAGTGATATCATCGAAGGCCAGGTTGAAGGAAAGCGAGGACTGGGAAGAAGACTGATACAGCTGACGATCTCAAACAAGGAAAGGAAGTTCCAGGAATTAAAACGAGAAGCCGAGAATAGGGACAACTGGAGAGCTCTTTTTGGGCAGAGCAATGGACCTGTCGTAAGACAGAACACTTAATAATAATAATAACTGCAACATATCCAAATGCATGGTATATAGACTGAAATACCTGTAAAACTGCATTTCAAGGCAGTCATATAACATGCGCCTACCACTTTGTCATAAAAAGCGAAAGAACTGAAGAAGCTTTCAGGTCCACCTAAGCAGCCCAGTCACATTTTCCAAAAAGAGAAAAGCATGCACTTAAATTCAAAACACACTGAAGTACTTATTCATGTTACCTAAAATATTC